CATATGATATTAATAATAATAATTACTCTCAGAAAGCAATATATATACAACATACATATCATGTGTTAAAGGCCAAAAATGTTTCTAAACTGTTTTTTCTTCTTCTTCGACTTTAAGATCCCCAGAGGCCCATCCTCGGTGTTTACCAGCAGGAGGACCCCCAGCTGTCGTTTCCTGCTAACGTGCCGAGTGCAGCAGTGCTGGAGCTCTCAGAGAACCTGCGCTCAAAAGTCTACTCCATCTTCTGCAAACTAGGTGAGGCTATTATTAAAGAGTTGGACTACATGAGAACAGCAGTCTATGCATTAAGTATGACAGCCAAGGCCATGTCAAATGAGCACCACAGTTCATTTGCAAAAGCATGCGGTAAATAATAATGATCTGTTACTTTTGCAGGTTTCCATGACCTTCCTGGATTGTCACGAAAACATTATGTGACCTTGAGTGTCGTCAGGAGATATCTGGACTTCAAGGTAGAACCGCCAGTGATGGATTTGAAATAAGCTGTATTTGTACTACGAAAAACTGAATGATGTCACACACAGAATATTAAATTATACATTTGCGAGATAAGATGTTGTAATTAAATGAAACTCTTAAATGATCAACATATCCCCTTCAAACATGTTAAAGTGTGATTTAAATACACCCAGAGAAAAGTTGAGTTTGAGTGACAGAAACAGTGTGATCGTTGATGTGGTTCTTTCTGGTGCTGCAGGTGGGTGAGGTGTGGGAGGAGGTCAGCAGGGAGCTGGGTCTGGACGGTGTGAGGCCGACCACTCCGGATGAGGAGGCTCTGAGCGCTGTCTGTAAGATCTCAGAGGACACGGCCAGGAAGGTGGCAGCAGAACAGAGGAGCATCCTGGAGCTGCAGGAGAAGGAGGACATCAGCGAGGAGCAGCTCATGTACACAGAGGTGCTGTCAGTTTACTTCGGTCAGAAAACTGAAACTAAATCTTTCAAAGTCAACTGAATTAGGATATTTTCTTTTTTTTATCTTCTTATTTATTTAATTTTTTACAAGATTTAGAGTTTTTATGAGTGCCACATTGTCTCTGATTCATTTCCAGTACATTTAAATGAATAGATACTTACATTTGTCTCTGAACTGATCCATGTAAATACAGCAGGTTTTCCTTTTTTTGCTGCACTTTTAATGACACTTTGTTTGCTGTCTGTGTTGCAGATTAAGTCTCACTGGAAGCAGAAGGAGCTCACAGCCAAGTCATGGGACAGTTACGTTTCCAGGACTTCCAACTATGAGATCCTAAAGGTTTTCTATTTACCATCCACAGATAAAACCTCAAGTCATCATAGATGTTAAATAATAGAATTGAGGACTTTTTGTGTTCTGCCTTTTTCTGAACAGGAAGTGAAAGCACAGAGGGAGGAATACATTGAATCATCCCGACCCAAACCAGAGCATGAGGAAGCTGCTGTTCACCCTACAGAGGTCTGCCACACTGACACAACGAGTACTGTACTGCTCACTGTCGTAGTACGGCTTTAGGAGATCAAACCTGCAGTGATTTCAGCAAAGTAGTCGAATCAGTTTCTGACAACAAGAACATGTATTCACTTTTAAACAAATAGGAAAAACTGCAGCAATATATTCTTCCCCCTCAACTCGAATAGTGAGAAATGATGTACAGTCCAAGCCTCCTTTGTATGCTAACTGATAAAAGCAGAACAAACACAGAAGCATTAAGTAAAGAAGTAGCCTGTTTTTCCGCTAAGAAGCAGCAGTTCAGAGGGACACCACAACATATTTAAAACATATTATTGCTCCTACTCGTTGTTGGGTGTCCAGAAAAGAGTTCCTTCATGACAGTGCTTTCAACAAGCTCTGCAGATTACCTTGAGTAATGATTTCTGAAAAGATACATTAGTGTTGAGCTTTTTTTTAATCATTTTTTGGCACGAGTGCCATCTAGTTACATTATGTTTGAGAGAAGGCAGTTCCAAAACATTGATTAATAGCACTACAGGCAATAGGACAGTTATTTATTTGAATTAGCTGTCTCCTAAACACTTAAGAAATGGTCTTTTATCTCTATAATTCCTTGTAAAATAATATTTTTGTTATGTGTAGGTCACAAAAGATAAAAAATCTGTTCTCAACACCACGTGATAAGGAAATCATTTATGAGAACATAATTATTGACAATATATAAATGTTGTGCACTAGGTCTAAACCAAATACTACTACTAAATGATTATGATATGTTTCTCTGCGTGTTTCAGCTCATCCTGGGGAAGGTGATGTCTGTAGAGAGGACAGGGTCCTCGGGGCCCGCAGGAGTGAAGCTGACGCTGGCCAGAACCTCCATCAAGGCTTCAGGTCAGGACCAGGCAGCCCCAACCACACAGGACCCGGAATACTTCAGCACTGTGAAAGACTGACGCATCAACTTATAGACTTTAATGTTCACCCAAACACAACAAAACAAACGCTGCAGAACATTAACATGTTTGTCATGAATAGTTGTTTTCTATCAGCCGTTTATTCCCAGCGCCTGTACTGAACTGGTTTATGTGATTTTGGCAGCAAACGCAGACATGAGGTCACTGGCTGTGCACAATCAGCACCTTGTAGTAGAGTCCACCTCCAATCCCTTTAATAGACACACACACAGTGCGTTCAACTGATTGGCCTTTGTGTCTTACATCAGCATATATCTGATGCACAGTGTAATACAACATGTATGTATAGTAAATAAATAAAACAACTTTGTTTTTTAGACAGCATAAAAAGAACTCAAAGCATTTTATTTTTGTAAATGTTTTCCATTAATTGAAATGTTTCTATGCTATCATTCTCTAACGTCCTTTGTTTAAATATGCAGCAACATGAACAATGAAGCCTTATGTAACAAAATAACAACCACTAAATTCATTTTAAAAGTCTCATTATATCCAGTGAAGATTAGTCCTGACAAATGTTACTTTGTGTTTGGCAGCTGCCACGCCCACAAGGTCCATTCAGGACAGTTCTTTTAAAAAGTATTTTCTCTGTGGAGTGTTTAGGGTTATGTAAGTCACTGCAGCGCGTTAACACACATGTTCCCTGAAGCGTGCAACATGCTGCACAGAGCCATCTTCTTTCTCTCTGCTCCCACCCATGTGACTGGCTGGATGAGCAGATACTCTCTGACATGCAGCTTTGTGAGTGTGTGTTGCGCCCCGTCAGACTGGGTCTCTGTACAAAAGAGCCGGGACACACAGGAGCCCCTTCAGTACGACGGGCTGCCACTGTTTGTTCAGGCTGTGGAGGGGCTTCACATGCTGTCAGTCAGTCTGTCTGCGGGCTGAGCAGCTGTCGATGAAGGTGAGCGTGGACGGGTGATCAACTTCCTGAGGATCTGTACACTTCAAACTGTGAGAAAACCATTGTTTTAACTTTAGGACTATGGTTATTTGGAACAACTTTAAAGTATTTTAAACTCACATTGGTTGTATGTTGTTAGTCGCTTTGGATAAAAGCGTCTAACAAGTAACATGTAATGTTCATATTTGAAAGACATTTAAATCAACTCAATTAAAATAATTTGTCATTTTAATATTTGACAGCACTGGAACATCTACATTTGGAGATATTGGAATAGAGCTGTATGGTCTTTGATGTGTTAAATAATTATATTACAAAAACGAGAAACATTGAAATCACTAAACATATTTGATAACTAAACACAGTAGGTTCAAATATACATTTAGGTTTTCAATACATCTTCATGATTCTGTCTGCACTAACAGGTGATAAGCATTATGGGATAACAGCTGTATCTAAAGGTGTTTTACCGCAGACGGGATGCTATGTTCAGGAATGGAGAGGCTGCTTATTTATTTAAGGAATTCTGATCAGAACAAATACAAAAAAAGGAACATTTTGATGACCTATGATGAATTGCATGTAAAAAAGATTGAGGGTTTTGCATTCAGCATCACTCCATTCCAAAAGTATATTACAAAACCTTTTCTCTTCAGTTACCTTGTGATTTTGCAGATAAACTAACCAGCAACATGTCAAGAAAAGAAAGAAATAAATTGTATTTATATAGCACCTTTCCAACAGACTGCTTTCACATTATAAAAACACATTTAAATACTCCCAGAGAATGAGAATATACACACATAACTCTGTGGTCAGGTTTCCCCCAAGGTCTCGAGATGAATCTCACGGGTCCTGATATGATGCATGAAAAGAACAATCTTATTTCTGCCAGAGAAAAGTACATTTTGACAACCGTACACTGTAAGGTGGTTTTACCCCGAATTCACTCTTTTGTTGATGCACTTACAGCTCGTAGAAATATGCAACTTGCAATGGGAGGATTCATGTAACAGTGGAGTCACAGAATAAGAAGGTTTGGGAATCACTGATGTACAGAGATGGGGTCGTTACTAAAAAAAAGTAATATATTACATATTACATATTACTTTAAAAAAAAGTAATATATTACACTACTTCGTTACTCTCTACATAAAGTAACTCGTTACTTTACTCGTTACTTTATTCGCAGGGCCGGCCCGCCCCTCCCTACAGGCAGATCACGCAGACTGCGGCGCACCTATGTGCGCGCCACAGTTTTGCCTCTGCGAGACTCCACTTGCACCCCCAATTACTATTGCATTAAGGAAGACATAACACAAGTCTTTCTTTTTATATGCTCTAAAATAGGCTACCAGTCTACCACAACAAGCTAACAGTCTGTGAAACGTCAAGACACTAATTAATTAAACCAGTTCAAGACGCATTATTCTTATCATTCTTTATGAGCGCAGTAACGGTAAGGTATCTAATTACTTATGTATTTAGTATTCCATAACTTAGTAACAGAGATGGTCAAACTAAAGTGGTATAGACATGGCAGAATTCCTATAATGAAGCGGGACATTGAACTGTTCACCCGTGAGAGGGCGATCAACAAAAGAGAGCGAGCGCCCCATTGAGGGAGTTTACAGATGACTCAGCCATGTTTATGCAGCACTGCACGTGGAGATGTGGTCTCGCAAATCGCGCAGATTACATAGGCCTACATGTATATAAACCTGCGGCGGAAACCCCTCTAGTCTGTCAGTGAGTGTGATTATTTTATAAAAGTAACGAAGTAACGCGTGTCGGGGCAATGTTAGTAACGGTAGTGTAATTACTAAATTATAAAAGTAACGCGATACACTACTCCGTTACCGGCAAAGTAATATTATTACAGCACCGCGTTACTTTGTGACGCGTTACTTTGTACGCGTTACACCCAACTCTGCTGATGTATAATACTAACTAATGAAGAAAATTATTTGAATTGAAGTGGTAGTGTTCTACATTGTAAACCTGACCCGGTGAAGAGTGACAGTGTCTGCTCTCCTGCAGGTGGTGTGCTGTCTGAGGAGCTCCAGCAGCAGAGATGATCCTCAGACTGGGGCGGCTCACTCCAGGATACTTCAGACTCCTGGAGGTGAGTCTCAGCCACAAGCTTTATTCTGTCTCTATATTTAATTGGACTGGACTCCATAGCTGTAAGAATATGTTTATTGTATTGTTTTAAACAGAGCAATGTGTTGCATCACAAATACATGAATCAGGTCAGTGATTAAACGTGTTTGAAAGATTGCCTTCTTACATTTTGTATAGAAATGCTTTATATCAGAGGAGGAGGAGTGAATGAATATTTGACAGAGAGCCGATGCAGCTTGACTCTGGAGGTTACTTTATATAACCTGTTTACACTCAACCTCACAGCTCGTCTTGCACGCAAGAGGCTGCACCAAAGACATTTTCTTTGACTGAAACGAGCCTTTCAGGGTGCCAAGGTACTCTATAGTTTCTATTTTTGTATATTCTGTGCATAATGGCTTTAAAAGCTTCCTGAAGATTTCAAACATTATGATGTTATATATTTTTGTACTGAACCAAGTGAAAACAGCAGCACTCTTAACACATTTATAAAATGCAGAACTGAGGACAGTCTGAACCCAACTAGATTAGATTCAAGCTAAATTGTAGTTATTTAACTTACTATTCAGCTGAGTGACTCATACGTTTACAACAAGATACAGTGCGAGAAAAACCAGTTTCAGGCCAGCAGGAGTTATTTAGAAGTAAAAATGTGCAGTAACATAACAAGATGTTCAAGTATGTGTATCAGTGTGTTCAGCTCCTTGTTTTTAGCTGTGTCTATTTCTGTGTCTAGATTCAAATGACTGGTATGTGTTGTTCTTGGCAAACAATGCTGATTCTCAGTCTACAGCCATTGAAGTGTCTCTGTCTGTGTTGCTGTGCCCACATGCTAGAAAGCCAGGACCATACGGAATAACTGAGAGTGCACCCTCAGTGAAAACTCACCTAAATGTATATCACTTTTTGACACGGTGGAAACCTCTGGACTGGACTTCTTTCTAGCTTATTAACAACTTTGGAACTGAATACAGCAGGCTCCAGCAATGTGGATGTAATTACTGTATTTCTTCCTGCTGGAGAGTGTTTTTTTTAACTTATAAAGTCTGCAGTATTACATTTAATTGTTTTAAGCTAGTTCAAAAGCTATTAACAAAGTGGTTTGGAACTTGAAGTTGGTTTAACGGTGAACTAGATGCTAAGTCACCAATGTCATTATACTTAATCCTCAGAGGAGCATTGCAATCTGTCCAATATCCATCAGGTAGTTGATCATATTTAATGCTGGGCCAGTTGCTAAATTCCCACACTAGCACGTTGCCCCTAAAAAGATGAAGCCTACACGTTTACAACTTTAGAACAAAGGGCTCAAATCAACATCCGGCATTGTCAAATGTTTCACCAACACAATCATATAACTTCAGAACCCTTACAAGTGCTGACATAATCACATACAATTATACAAATTGTTCCTTTATTGAGAAAAAAAGTTGCATAGTACAACTTGAACTGCTCTCTGATCAGACTAGTGTGTGTTTAACTGTGTGTGTGTGTGTGTGTGTGTGTGTGTGTGTGTGTGTGTGTGTGTGTGTGTGTGTGTGTGTGTGTGTGTGTGTGTGTGTGTGTGTGTGTGTGTGTGTGTGTGTGTGTGTGTGTGTGTGTGTGTGTGTGTGTGTGTGTGCGTGCAGAGGCAGGTCTCCGGTGAGGTCCGGATGCAGCCACAGAGCAGCTTCATCAATCCCATCGCCATGACGATGGCCACATTGGGGATGGGAGTATCTCTGTACAGCGCCAGGCAGATGGCAGAGAGGGATCTGAAGCATCAGTGAGAGCAGTGTGTAGGGTGTGGGACAGGGTGTGTGTGTGTGTGTGTGTGTGTGTGTGTGTGTGTGTGTGTGTGTGTGTGTGTGTGTGTGTGTGTGTGTGTGTGTGTGTGTGTGTGTGTGTGTGTGTGTGTGGTGTGTGTGTGTGTGTGGTGTGTGTGTGTGTTGTGTGTGTGTGTGTGTGTGTGTGTGTGGTGTGTGTGTGTGTGTGGTGTGTGTGTGTGTGTGTGTGTGTGTGTGTGGTGTGTGTGTGTGTGTGTGTGTCAGAAGGCGTGTGATGGAGCAGGTCGGGGGAGTCATGTGTTTGTGCTACTGCTGGAAGGAAAACCTGGAAAGTGTCCGGAGGAAAGTGTGTGTCAATGTTCCCAGCAGGAGGATGTGTGATGTCGTCAAACAATTAACACCTTCTTTGCAATATCAACATGTGGAGCCCATAGATTGACAATCTGCATTTTTCCTGCAGGTTGTCTTTGATTTTTATTATTGATTATATTGTAAAGCAAACATTAGCATATCATTTGTCAACAGGGTTCTTTAGGAAGTGTATCCTGTAGCCTTTGTTATTTCCTGCATTTTAAAGTGTAACAAAACATGTTTAAGAGAAGTAACCACACAAAATAAAATAAAAACACAAATAAATACAGAAAAATAATTATGTAGGAAATTCTCTCAGCACACACGTTTTTGTATTTATTAATTATGTAGCATGAAAATTAGCTTAAGAAAAAGTGTTTTTTGTCATGGCTTGTTCAGTTTACCAAATACAAATTAGATGTATTAACATTGAATAAAGGAAATGTCTGTTAATGTAAAAAGCCACTGAAAGACATTACATATTTAATATGTAATTCTTAAATAAATATGTTCAAAGCTTTGACCTCTCTGTGAAAAATTGAGATTTGTATGGATTTGATTGTGTTTGTAGAAACTTTAAAACAGCTCTGTGGTTCTCAGGCTTCATCCATGTGGAAATGTTTTGTGGGAAACAGAAAGTCTCGGGTGCCTGCACAGTCTGAATGGAGCGACTCATGTGGATAAAGCTCAGGATGGGAAGTGATTTTCCCGCCAGCTGAAATTCTACATGATCTCTGACAGCAATGGATGAGAATGAGAACTGTTTCTGCTTTTACATTCATTTGTCTACACTTGCACTTCTGTAAAGTGATCCTTTATCTGACAAACAGCAGTTTAAAGGGACAGTCCACGCTAAAATCTAATGTTTGTTTTACTCTTACCCTGTATTGCCTTTTATCAATCTAAGGGATTTTGCTGTGAGATGCTGAGTGTTGGAGATATCTCTCCAATGTAGTTCCACCTAAATGGCTCTCTGCTTGCGGTGCTCAAAGCGACCAAAACAGAGATAACAATAAGTGAATATCGGACTTACATTCATCAGGTGGACAAAAACACAAGGCCAAATATATAAATATGTTGATCTGTAACGGCTCAATGTGTAACTAAGCAACTGTTTACTTCCAAGTCCATCATATCAACAGAAAATATGATATGTCAGTGTTGTGTTTGAAACTGGTTCCTACTTCCCTCAAGTGGTTAAAAATGATATGTGAGAGTCAGAATATGATACAATATAACTGTTTAAATAGCTAAAGGCAGAAATGTCCTGATCATGTCCATCAGAGAAATATTTTCAGAAGTCTATCCATTTAGAACCACTGTTCAAGAGGATGTGTATGGCTGTGTTCTTTTGAAATAACCAAGACAATATATCAAAGAACAGTTCAATACATTGGGACAGTTTTGATTTCTAACTCTTAATTTCTAGTAGCAGGATTCTGACCTTTTGTTAAGCCTGTGAGATTTTGATTTATTCTACATCCCTGTCAAAACGACTGGATCCAGAGGTCACCGTGGGAACCAGCCCCTGCTGTTGGTTTGACTAATTCCTCTCCCCTGGGAGCCAAAGAGGAAGAGGATGTCAACTGTCAATAATTTCTTTATCCAGAACTCATCTAAAACTGGAAGCTATTTTTAAATAAGAATGTATTGTACTGGGTTGAGAGATGTCATTAAAGTGACAACAGAGGGACACTAAAGAAAGACTATTATTTAAAATATAAGTTAGAGACACACATTTCAAGTGAGGATCCTCTAACTGTCTTCTGGATAAACACAATCCAAATATTGAACCTCAGGAAGGCTTTGAGAATATTGATGAGCAGATTGATACATGGATCCTATTTTCATGATTTATTTTCCCCATGAGAAACCTTTACTGTTGTAGAATACTGCATAAAATATAGCTGCAAGAATCATTAGAGGATGTGAGTGTTTGTCCGTCTTTTCTGTTCCTCTTCATATATTTTCCCTTTACTGAAGATAAATGTTTCATATGTGCTGCTATAAATGAATATTGATCTTGTACTGGCACACTGATGCTTTATTTCCTTCTGTAAATGCTAATTATTTACACTTGGCTGAAACAATAATCAAATAGAAAGAAAACAAAATAAATACACAACATCTACCTACTGACATTAGAGTTGCCAGAAAAATGTACGTACACGTGTGAGTCATTATTACATACGTGGTCCTTTAAAGGCGTCAGTATTATAAAATGATTAATAAATGTCCAATCTTATTTATTGTTTTAATTCCTTAGCTGTAAAATGTATTATAATAACTACAATATGTTCTCCTGAGATGGGAGGGTGTAGAAATATAAGTTGTATAAAACAGAAATACTCAAGTACAAGTACTGTTTTTAAGCAGTACTTGTCGTGTTCCTCCACTTCAGCAGGGGTCGCCCTCTCTCCGGCTGAGTGTGGGTGTGCTGTGTGTTATTTGAAGAGAAAAAGAGTTCGGCGTGGGTTTGGGAGGTTTCTGTGTGATGGGGATGGATGTGGACACTTGATAAAGTTCTCAGAGCTCCGTTTGAGGAGAGAATAACAACACGCCAACAAGTGTCCAGGCTTTAAATCCTCTCAGCAGGCGAGTAAGAGTTTTAAAATAACCCCCACTGATGACAGCAGCTTGTATGTCTGCAACATTTAACCCCCGTTTGTTCTTCTAAAACTATGCGTAATTTTGAGATAACAGTGCGTAAAAGTGCGCGTTTCTACGTTGCTCACCTCGCCCTCTCCTCGTCCTATCCTCATCTTCATCTTCATCGGATCTAGAAAACGAGCAGCAGCCGTCAAAGCATCTCAACAACATGGCTGAGCTGCGACCCGCCCGGTGCTGGAGGACGGGCTTCTTCTTCTGCCTCTGGTTGCTCCTCTTCCTCTCTGTAGCCTCCGGGAGTCTTGTTGTTGTGTCGGGGAGCAACGAGACGTCGGGGGGTCCAGCCGGAGACACGCCGGAGGACCCCCACCACCAAACTAACTCCACCACTCACAAGAAGGCTTTCCCCGTCCTCTCCTTCAACTACCAGGACGTCAGGAAGCCCTTCGTGATCTCTCTGTGGATTCTGCTGGCCCTGCTCATGAAGCTCGGTGAGTGGCCACAGGACTGAAGGGGTCCTCATTCAGCATCAGTGAGGGGCTGGGTATCAGGAAATTATGGGTGCTTAGCAAAAACTGTTAGGAAATTTGATATCTGCAGCCTATACAATAGTTTTCTCAGGGTCAGATTGAAAGTGTATGTGTTTCTATGACAACATGTAAAGCCATTTGAAAGAGTAAAAGGAGGAAAATTGCAATAAAACATCAGAAATGAATGCACAATAACAAGCATGGGTCAGAGGTGGAAACTACATTTACTCAAGTTCAAGTACTCCACTACATTTATTATGTACCTTTCAGTTACTTCACAGATGTGGATGAATGATGTGAAATATAATCAAGTGTTAAATCAGACTTTAGTTCCACCTGGAGTAAATCCACAAGCTACCCTGCAGTATACAAAGTCATTCAAACTAGCTGCACCTTTACCAGCTTTGAGAACACTTTCATGATCAATTATTATAAAACATATCATATATATTATTCTGAACTGGGTGCATAATGAGTACTTTTATATTTTTATGATAATACTTTTACTTGAGTAACATTTTAAATGCAGGACTTTTTCGTGTAACAGAGTATTCCTACTGGTACTTCTACTTTTACTCAAGTACAAGATCTGAGGGATTAAAGTATACAGGCATCATGACTGAACATGTGATAGAAATAAGCATTTTTTTCCTAGGCACACTGGAAAGGTGGGAACATACTGTGTTGAGGATTTGTTATTGTGATGTTGTTTCAGCTTGGTAAAAGACAGATTTAGTTAAAAAGTAAGAATTGAGTTTGGTGTGAGTATGTTTCCTGGCAGGTACTGGTGTCAGCAGCTGATGTTTTGAAGTCGACTCAGTCATATTATAAGTTAACAGAAAAAAGTCATTGCTTAAGTTGAACTCTTACTAAATAGCTGACAATGCTTTACATTTTGACTTCCCTTTCCTTTCAAAATATATTTTTGTCATAAAAAAAATGTTGAGTCTATTGTGTAATCTGCCGTATATGCAGTCCATTAAACAACCTATGTTAATACATCCTCAAAACATTTGGTTCTGTCCAAGCAACAACTTTTGCTGCCTGGATCATAAGACACCCCTATTTATATCATGCATCTTCCGTTAAACACATAAACACAACCAAAAGAAAACGCATTATATTCCCTTCTACTTTAAGGGACATGTAAACAAAGAAAATGTGCACCAAAAACAGCTGCTTGTACAAGCCTGAGGTGTATCCGGATTCTCAGGATTCCTTCAAGTAACTGTTAAACTTCCATGTTTCCTATGTAAAACAGCCCATATTTACAATCCATGGTTACAAAATAAAAAAGTATTTTGCCATGTCTTGCTACCGATAGCCAGGATTTTCAAAAATAATAGCTACAACACCAGCAGTTAATAACAAACAAAGATGTTTAAGGCAAGGCAAGTTTATCTATATAGCACCTTTCAACACAAGGCCATTCAAAGTGCTTTACAAAAAATGAAAGACATTAAGAGCATTAAGAAATAGTGCAGTGGAAACACGTTATAAAATGGCATTTAAAAACCTTCATTAAAAAGAAAAGCGGATATAATAAAGATAAAACATGGGTATAAAATACATGAATACAAGTTACAGTAGTATGAGGGTTCCCAAAGGAGAGCTCATAGTCTCCACAGAACACTCCGGTTATGTTTCTGTGCAGCACAAACTTGTTTTAGAAGCGTCAGTGTGTCTGTCAATTAAGCAAATGTTGAAGGATTAGACTTTAAATAACCCTGGCAGAGGTTTGGCTGCAGTTGTTCTGACTAATTAAAGGTATTAAATATCTCTCTCTCTGTGGAGTTTTATAATAAGTCTTCTCTCGCCTCTGACCTTTAGCTTTCACACAACCACCCTCCTCATATGCTGAGAGGATAAACTATTCCCCAGGATACAAAGAATATATAAAAGAAGTCATTATTCCAACAGGCAGCTGGCTTACTCGATTCTTCTTCTTATTTTGTGTGATCAAATTTGCAAGGCAGAACAACATGTGAAAGAACATACACACAGCTCCCTTACAAACAAACACAAACACCATAAGACAAAACAATATAAGATCAAAACACCCGCCCCACCCTTCCCAGGACCCCTGTGGGCTGGTTCAAGCGCCAATAGGCAACGAGCAGCGTCAAATTACATTTACACACGCAGAGAGAAAGGAATCACATTCCAATCCCATTGATACGGGCTGTTGACAGCTCCAAGTTAACTGCAACCATTTTCTTAGCCGCCGTTAGACCAGCAAGACCTATGCGTTTTTGATATTTTAGGAATCTGAAGGGAAGAAATGTGACTCAGTAGCAGAGTGGATATGGTCGCAGGCACCGACGATTGTTCTTATTTTAATATTTGTTTCATAAACTCAATTGTAATATCACATATCATTATTATTGTCTATACAGTATTTGAGCGCTTGCAGTATTCAAACAAGTGTTGTTGTTGTTCTTTATTATATGATGTTCTATTTAAACAGTGACACCACACACCCAAGAAATGTTTGACCAGCTGCCGACCAGACTATCTATGTTCAGAGCTTTCAAGAAAATCACAAAATATCTCATTGTATTCAATCATTTCATGGTTCAAGTTTTTTTTAAATCTACATTATGTAATGAGGACATTTTAAAATAGTATCGCACTTAAAACGTTTGTGCTGCAGAATGCTTTACAAAATGTAGATTTAAGATATCCTGCTGCTAAGTACATATTTTAGTCCCGATTATTATTCAATTTTACTTTAAAAACTCAATATTTAAATAGTAAACTTTTTCAGAACATTTGGTATTTGTGTGTTGATTAGTAATTATAAACTCCACCTAATGTCATGAAAAATATAACATAATGTGTTTCTGCTAACATTGACACTTTTTCACTGTTACTAGTCCACCAGAAATGATTCATTTGGGGTAAAGAAACCACTTGTTGATACTCATTTTCAGTAGCTGAGAAGGGAAGAAACTGTGTTGCCTGAGAAAATAATATCATTGGACTGTTCCTAATAAAATAAGAACTCTAATTTAGGCCCTCCCCAGTGGTGGAAGAAGTATTCAGATCTGTTTACTCAAGTAAAAGTACTCAAGGGACTACTTGGTTGCTCTCAAAGTCTTAAAACACTCAAAGAAAATAAAGGGAAAGTATTTATTGCGCAAAAAGGGCCTTTCATAATACCAGTGAATTATAATTATTGATGCATACATGTATTCATCACTTTAATGTTGCAGCTGGTAAAACCGAAGCTCACTTGAATTACTCAAACAACTGCTGGGTATCTATCATAAAATCATATTTTAATGTATTAGTTATATTTTAAGTAACTACAGCTTTGAAATAAATGAAGTAAAGTATTGGTACAAAGTAGCATAACATAGAAGTACTCAAGTAAAGTACAAGTACCTCAAATTGAGCTTAAGTAATGTATTTAGTTACATTCCGACACTGGTTACAGCTGCTGCCCTTATTACTGTGAGATTTATTACAAATAAAGATAAGTTTTGCCTTTGAATTATTATAAAATAGTTCACCCTGCCTCCCTGAATGGATGACACCGGGCAGCGATGATTCTGATTGGCTGGTTGAATCTCTCCTTCACTGAGTCGTTGGCAGCTCTGCGTCTTATCTGCTCTGTCCAGCTGCTGCTGACGAGAGCCGGTCCAACTTCCTGTCCTAATGCACTGCTCGATAACAAAGAACCCAGTGTAGAGGCAGAGCGGGGAGGAGCACGGACCTCTGACTGCATAAAACATCACAGAAAATGTTCCTTACAGCTGCCTCGACCCGAGTCACATGACAGGGAGGCTGAATGTCAAGGTCTATTCAGCTCACAGACAAATGTGAGATTAACAGAGCAGTGATATCTACTGTATCAGCCCTTTATTTAACACATAGATATAATGTGAGGTTTTTGCAGTGACACACTGTTGAATATCATTGAAAATGAAATCTATTAGGAAATATTTTTAAACAAAACAGACAATTACCTACTGCTCTGGGGACTAACATTTATACTAAAAGCATTGAAAATGATTGTTGTCTTCAACAGATTCAATATTCAAAGGCTTTATTGTCATTGGTAATATATGTTCAGCATAATTTGAAAATCATAAGTCCCGGGCTCCGTCAAAGATGCAACATACAAAATACTTAAAGGGGCCATGTTATGCTCATTTTCAGGTTCATATTTGTATTTTATGCCTCTACTGTGACATGCTTTAATGCTCTTTATTTTTCTCCTACTGCCTCTTTTCACCCTCTGTCTGAAACCAGAGCCCAGTCTGCTCTCATTGGTTAGCTGGCCGGCTCTGTTATTATTGATAACCTCAACCTTTTAGAGATTTCCCGCCACTTAGCCTATCACGTACAATGTGTTGGAGCGCTAGCCAATAGAAGCGTGAGTGTTGCATAGTGATCACATTATGTTACTAAAGTAAACAAAGGAGTCCAATGGAGGCGGTTCAGGTGCACTATATTAAACACTGCAAGAAGGGAAAACCCCAAAAAGTATAATAGTGATTCTTTAAGATTTACAAACAAATAGAAATGTTGCGCAAAGAAATTGAAAGAAAAAAAAAAAATCTATTGAAATATAAAAAAGAAATGTTGAAAGAGAATCATGCAAGTGACACAAAGTGCAAGTAAATGCAGATATACTGTAAGTAAACTTTATACATGTAAAGACGACATTTTATGTAAAATTAAGTACTGTACATTATACAGTACATATTTTTTTGTATTAATATATAAATATTTGGACTGTAAACAGATTTATGTACACTAAACATAAGTTGGTTATGACACTTAACTTGTGGCCCTGTATAACATCCACTAAATGCTAATATTATTGACTGTTCCAATTTAAATCTAGATTAAAAACATAAAATATGACCTCCACAGATATTTATGTTATTTATGTCTTTTATTCATGCCTGCTGCAGCCTCTACTGTATATTTTATGAGATGGCTGCAGTGGCGTAGACTGACTGACTGACTGAGTGCATCATTTTTTTTGTTTTCAAATCAAAGTGCTGCTCTAACGCACACAGAACCGTTTCCTGAATATAGACTCTGGGTATTATATAATATTAGGTTTGTGATAAGGAGTTTACGTTAATTTACTTTTCCACTACAGCGGGGGGGGGGGAATACAGCCGAGTAATGAGTCACAATTTGTCTAAAGTATGAAGTGCCATTCTACAACTTGGTTTAAGAGATATTAGTATAATACCCCTCGCTCTCGATGGGTGCTGCATTGAGCAAAATCCTCAGATACCACACCTGCTGGTGAGGTATGGGACTGCTCTTCTTCTTCAAATTGACCGCAAACCCCCAACTTGGTTAGGTGTAAGACAGTGGTGGCCGGCCCATAGGGGCGCTAGGGGCGCTGCCCCCCTCTTCCCACATTAAAAATAAATATATATATATTTTAAAAATATTTTTTTTATTTTTAATAAACACGGTAAATATTATAATTGGTATCAGCAAAATGTAAAATCTACAATAAAATCTCGTTTAAAATTGTGTTACGATGTCTAAAGTTACTGATAAGTCACATGTTTCCTGCCTGGCCTTGCCCGTGTATCATTACCCTCTCTCGTCTGGGCGCTATGCACAGCGCCCAGATGAGAGTGCTATGCACAGCGCCCAGATGAGAGTGCAGCAAGTGCAGCAGAAGCCAACTGTTGCTATCTTTAAACTATGCCGCCGAAACATAATTTCAGCGAATCAGCGTCGTCAAATCTGATGGTCACACTCAGCGCCCGGTGCAGTCTGTGAGTTGTTTGGACTCGTATCCAAGGAGACAAAACAGGAAGCTGTCATACACTCTGGAAGCTATCATTAGCAGCTAATATGAAAACTCCGTTTTTGACATAAAAATGGAATTATGGATTATCAATAATTTTTTCAAAGTGACAGACACATTGGATTAACCTATGGATTAACCTTCAGCCGCGTTTTTCTCGTTTTTGATCAGAATAACAGCAAAAGGTGAGCATATCTTCAAGTTGTATTTTGTTGGACGAACGCACTTATTGTAAGTCGCTTTGGATAAAAGCGTCAGCTAAATACAATGTAATGTAATGTAATGTAATATCTCCGTGTTTTGCTACCTAAAGCTACGTCGTGTGATGTCTGTATTTGCTTCCCCTGTCGCGAGTTCTGATCGCTCAGTGATGATACTTATATTTCTAGAATCTGTGGAATCTCAGCTTGTTAGCTAAGCTTGTTTGTGCATATCCGATAAGTATATCGATTGATTTATACCTATAGTGCGTTAGCATTTTTTCACTCAGGGCTCATTTAGACGCTTCTTGTGAGACTTGTGTTTTGTTTCGGTAAACATGGTTCATATAATCAGTTAGCTGAGTTTCTTGAAGGAGTAGGACACATGAATAGTTCATTACATTTTAAGAAGCCCTGAGACACAGTTTTGTGAGAAAATAAACAGGGGGAAAAAAACAGGTTAAATGGGAATTAAATCATTTTAAGTAATTTTGAGTGTTCCCAAAGCCCCAGTGCAGTTTGTGTGGGCCTACTGTACTGTTGCACAGTTTATACTGTAGAAACTATGTCCAGGACAAAGTGTTTGGAAGTTTTGGAAGATTCATAGCTAACCACACTGAAGATTATGGAGGTATTGATCAGTCTTCTCATATTTTTAAGCCTCAATTTGTCCTTCCCCCCCTCTAACATCACCAGAAGTCATAATTTAAGGGGTCTGTTCTCAAAAAGAATTACCCCCGGAACCCCCTAGTATTGTTTGGTCACCATTTCCACAGCCCCACCTAAAATATTTTCCACCAGCCGCCACTGGTGTAAGATCAATTGGGCTGTGTGGAACATCTGCCCATTCCCTGGACCTGGCCATGACTATGAGGTCATTGAGATCAAATAAAACCCTCATGCCATGGTCGCGAAGCGGCTGAAGCGCTGTGGCCACACATTTGCTGAACGTGCATAAGGAGTAGCCGAACAGTAATCTGTTGTACTCGTAGGCTATCCCCTGGAAGGCAAAACGCAAATACTTCCTGTGTTTTGGCTTTCTAGCAATTTCGACATGAAAGTAAGCGTCCTTCAGGTCGATGTTTTGTGAACTGGCTGCACCAGTTCCAACTATAGGAATCCCAATCATTTCGTCCTGTAACAGGCTGTGGTGGATCCCACTCTTGCTGCCTGGATAGTCTGTATAACATTGTCAGACAGTCCACCCCTTCTCAGCCTGTCCCTCTCAGGAGCCAAGCCTGGAGAGGTTGGCCCAGAGTGGGTAATGCCCCTATTGCACCTGCTTCCTGAGACAGCGCCCCCCAGAACTGAGGAACTGTTCAGGGCTGGCCCACCATCATCTGTGTCACCATGGCGCCGAGCTGCGACCTGGGGCTAGAATGACCGACAACTGTTGTCGTCTCACCCCCTCCAGGAGTGGGGAATGAGACGCAGCGGTGGAAAGGCGTAGAGCAGCTATCTTGGCCATGGCTCATGTGCAAACGTGTCCACCCCCAAGGGTGGATTGTCCTGCCGAGCCAGGAAGAACCACCATTCGTCTGGCAGGGGCCCGCCTCTTGACATGAGGCCGGCCCTCCGGTTCTCCTGTCCCGGAATGTGGGGGGCCTTTAGAGATTCTCTGAGGCCCACAACCACAGATTCTTCACTGCGCTCAACAAAACGGCGGAGCTGACTCCGTCGTGCCTGTTGATGTAAGCCACTGTGGTGTGGTTGTCGCTGTCAGAGGCCAGCCACCACCTATAGCTGTCTCTAGGCAGGTCCCTCCCCTTCAGCAAATGCTTTGGGGACCCCCAGTATCGGAGGTTGCCCTCCACTGAAGGGGGGGATGGCCATCAGACGTTGTTTGTGCCTCTTGGGATCTAAACGAAGGCTGGCAAATCACCTCTGTAGGTGACGCACGTGGTGAGCAGCTGCCATGAGACCCAAGGTCTGCATGATGGTCAGGGTTGTCACCGTTGCCCCCCGTCACAGTCTAAAAACTGCCTGAAGCAGGGACGTCTGTCTGTTCTCTGACAGAGTGGCACCTAGCCTGCCCTCTTTCTCGATGGGGCGTACACCTCTCCCTCGATGGGGGCGTACACCTCGCTCTCTATGGGGGCCGCACACTGAACGTGCGTGGGGACATGGAGTAGCCAAACGGTAGTCTGTTGTACTCGTAGGCTATCCCCTGGAAGGCACAATGCAAATACTTCCTGTGTTTTGGAGCAATTTCGACATGAAAGTAAGCATCCTTCAGGTCGATGTCTGTGAACCAATCGCCCGGCTACACCAGTTCCAGTAACTGTTTAACATATGTAACTTTTTGCAGGCAACGTGCTGATTCAGGACGCGAAGATCCAGAATGGGTCTGAAGTCCCCTGTCTTCTTGGGAACCAGGAAGTACATGGAGAAAAAGCCACTCTCTGTCTTGAGAGTGCACGACAGACACAGCCTGTTTTTGCAACAGGGCCTGAATTTCTGTTTGAAATGTTCTTTTATCACTATGTAACAGTCAGGCTTCTATTGGCTAGCTCTTCAACACATTGTATGAGTTAGGATATGGGGCGGGACATCTCTAAACGGTTGACCAATCACAGTTAGGATACGGGCCAGGCCAGCTAACCAATCAGAGCAGACTGGGCTCTGGTTTCAGACAGAGGGTGAAAAGAGGTGCTGCAGCACAGGCAGTATGAGAAAAATAAAGGGCTTTTTGAACATTAAAGCATGGAAACATGTCACAGTAGAGAGTAAATACTAATATGAACCTGAAAACTAGCATAAAAGGGCCCCTTTAAAAAAAATGTTTTACAGTACTTAACAATGTTTATGTTAAAAGTTCAAATACTATATACAGGAGAAAGGGAATTATGACCCATGATATCATACAAAACTATAAGAGAACACTTTTTGCTGAAAGAAAGGTTTATGAGAAGGAGTAAAAGAGAATGGTGTTGACTTTTAGTTTACCTGAGTAATTATCTCCAATCTTTCTCTCTCAGGTTTTCACATCATTCCTAATATATCCAACGTGGTCCCGGAGAGCTGTCTGCTGATTGGCGTGGGTCTGCTGGTGGGCGGGATCATCAAAGCCATCGGAGAGGAAGCCCCCGTCCTGGACACCAAGCTCTTCTTCCACTACCTGCTGCCCCCCATCATCCTCGATGCCGGCTACTTCCTGCCCATCCGGGCCTTCATGGAGAACATGGGCACCATCCTGGTGTTCGCCGTGGTGGGGACTCTGTGGAACGTCTTCTTCATCGGGGGGATGATCTTCGCCGTGTGTCAGATCGAAGGCGTGCAGCTGGCCGGGGTGGACCTGCTGTCCTGCCTGCTGTTCGGATCCATCGTCTCCGCCGTGGACCCCGTGGCCGTCCTAGCCGTGTTCGAGGAGATCCAAATCAACGAGCTGCTGCACATCCTCGTGTTCGGGGAGTCGCTGCTCAACGATGCCGTCACCGTGGTGAGTGAGGGGGGCGGGGGAATGGGCTGGTGCTTCTACTTGAATTGAGAAAAGGAGAAAGGAAAGTTTTAATGATGGAAGAAAGGAAAGATGTAAATAGGTGGAATGGAAAAGACAAATCTGAAAGAAGGAAGGAATAGGGATAAGAGAAAAGGAAAGAAAGAAAGAATGAAGAAAAGACGAAGAGAGCAATGACAGAAGGAAGGAATTGAGCAGTGAAGTAAAGAAGGTAGAAGTCAAGAAGAAAGACACAAAGGAAGGAAGGGTGAAAGAAGAAAAGAAGGAAAATATGAAAGAAGGGAGAAAGGGAAGGAAGGAACTAAGGGAGCAATGAAATAAATAAGGTTCTATTGAGTAGGAGAAGAAAGGAAAATAGGAGCTAAGAAAGGAAGTATGTGAAAAAAGGAGGGAACAAAGTATATCAAAAAAGAAGGAGGGAAGGAAGTATGTAAAAAAGAAGGAAGGCAATATGTAAGAAGGAAGGGAAGAACAAATGAAGTATGGGGAAAAAACAGGAAGGAAGGCAGAATGTAAGAAGAAAGGAAGGAGGGAAAGAAGGAAGAAAGGAAGTATGTAAAAAGAGAAGGAAGGAAGTATGTAAAAAAAAAAGAAGGAAGGTAGTATATGAAAAAGAAGGAAGGTAGGACAGAAAGAGGATAACATTAGGGATGAAGATTATAGAGGGAATTATAGAGAAGTAAGGTAATGAATAGGGGAAGAAAGAGGGGTCAAAGTATAAAGAAAGGGAAATGAAAGGAAGGTGAGAAGAATAAAGAGGACGGACAGGAACGACCGAAGACAAAATGACCTTCACTTAAATAACAAACACAGTGTTGAGAGCTGTAGGAAGCACAGCACCTTGAATAAAACACAAAGAAAGTCTCAGTAAACGTTTCCCTCGGCAGGTTCTGTATCACCTGTTCGAGGAGTTTTCTCATGCAGGAACTGTGACCGTGTTGGACGGCGTGCTGGGGGTCGTCTGTTTCTTTGTGGTTTCACTGGGGGGGGTTATGGTGGGCGCCATCTACGGCTTCCTGGGGGCCTTTACCTCCCGCTTCACCACACACACCCGGGTCATCGAGCCCCTGTTCGTGTTCCTCTACAGCTACATGGCTTACCTCTCTGCGGAGGTCTTCCACCTGTCTGGCATCATGTCGTAAGTCCCTGTGACACAAGATGGGATTGTTAATCTAAACCATTGCCCTTACAGCCAGATTTCAAAATGCTCTCCTTGTTTCCTGTCTGTCATGCTCAGGTTGATAGCATGTGGCGTAATAATGCGGCCGTACGTGGAGGCTAACGTCTCGCACAAGTCGTACACCACCATCAAATACTTCCTGAAGATGTGGAGCAGCGTGAGTGAGACGCTCATCTTCATCTTCCTCGGTGTTTCCACGGTGGCCGGTCCTCACGCCTGGAACTGGACCTTCGTCATTTCCACCGTCATCCTCTGTCTGGTGTCCAGAGTGCTCGGTCAGTTACCATAAAAACCCTGAACATATCAGTTAGTGACTTTTGTCGCTGTATTCTTTCCAGTTATTCTTCTTCATAAACGTTATTATGTTGTTTTCTGTCCATTCTTCAGGAGTCATTGGCCTCACGTGCATTATTAATAAATTCCGTATCGTGAAGTTGACCAAAAAGGATCAGTTCATCGTGGCCTACGGTGGCCTGCGAGGTGCCATCGCCTTCTCTCTGGGGTTCCTGCTGACCGACAACGAGAGGAAGAACATGTTCCTCACCGCCATCATCACCGTCATCTTCTTCACTGTCTTTGTGCAGGTGAGAGGGACATTTGCATTTCTCTGTTTTATCTGCAATAAAGTGACTTCAGACAAGATTAAGATATATAAGAAAAGCCTTCATTCATCATCACCAGAGGAGATATGTAGATGTTAGAGCATCATAAAAGAAAACATATACAGCATAGTATAGTATGACATGTAATATATAGTATAAGAAGCAATGTCATAGTTATATATTAAAAATAATAGTATTATAAGATAATACACTTTATATTTAAAAAAATATATAATTCCTGCATAATGTTTCTATCAAGTAAAAGTGGTCCAGAAAAAGACACAGGGTGGTTTCTTTATTATTATTATCACGAAGGTTATTTGTTGGTTTTATCACTATCTACATGGTCTCACTTGTTGTTTCTGTCTTCAGGGAATGACAATCAGGCCTCTGGTGGAGCTCCTGGCCGTGAAGAAGAAGAAGGAGAGCAAACCATCCATTAATGAGGAGATCCACACACAGGTGAGATCCACAATCTGACCTGGAACACTGTTAACGTACAAGATGTAACAAATATTACAGCTTGAATCACATTTTTGTTTATTGTTCATCTTTATGCAGAAATAACATCATATAACTTTCCTTTTGTCTCCAGTTTCTGGGTCATCTCCTCACAGGAATTGAAGACATCTGTGGTCATTATGGACATCATCACTGGAAAGACAAGTAGGATTTTTTTCTCTGACTTCTCCCTATTACTTAAAGGTGGGGTAGGTAAGTTTGAGAAACCGGCTCGAGATACACTTTTTGTTATATTCCATGGAATGCTCTTAACATCCCGATAGCAATGAATATCTTAAGTGCTTTGACAAAAAATCCATAACAAAATGTCATCTGTGGAAGCCGTAGTACCAGTCATTTTAGCCGGCCCGGCTAAAGTAACTGGATGGCCTACCTGCCTGTCAGCCTTCCATCTGTGCACAAACTTATCTCGTGCACTCATTGGTCATGTGCGCGTTCGTGTGTGTTGGAGGAGGGGCTCTGTGAGGAAGTGGCAGATTTTCTTCGGTTGTGTATTTTCAAATTCTAGCGCACTCGAGCTGGTTTCTCCAAAATTACCTACCCCACCTTTAAGAAACGGCCTAACAGCAAGGTTTATACAATGTATGGGTTTTGAAATGATGAACATTATGAAGATACATATTATGTAAATAAAATACATCACTTACGATAGGAGGGAATTAGCTAAAGGATATAAAGTTCTGTTGTTATTCATTTATTTAACAAGGACAATGCACATATTTATTTCTGTAAATGTACACGAGTTAGACAAGAAGCTATTTTTCATCTGTAGTCTGTTGTTAAACCAGGTTTCCTAAAATAGACTGAAGCTTCTGTTTCTTCATCTGTTAAATGTTTTGGATTTAGTAGCCAGTAGAAACTTAATGAGAACCAGGAAATAAAACATTTTAAAAACAAATTAAGTTCACTGAACATATATAGAATGAAAAAAACATAGTGTATTTTAAAGTAAAAAACAAACCAAAACTAATTTGAACGTTAAAAACGAATCTTAAATGAGCAAACCCTCTCTGGTAACTAAGCTGAATTGAAAACAAAAATTAAATACAAAACTAAATTATATATATCAGTTTTAGCCCCTTCAATCGGCACACATAAAACATATATTTGAAAAATATACATTAGAAAATAATGAAATAAAACAATATATACATCTATTCCTTCTTACTGTACAAACTACAAAAACTACAAAATTCACACTAGTGTGAATAAGCGGAAGTGCAGAAGGTATTTGTATGGTAATGATCAAATTACCATCAATTCTATGAGTTTTTTTAACGCTGTGACTGAGTATAAATGTTAATGAGTGCTTCCTGTGCTCAGGCTGAACCGCTTCAACAAGACCTACTTGAAGAAGTGGCTGATCGCAGGCGAGCGCTCCACCGAGCCGCAGCTCATCTCCTTCTACAACAAGATGGAGATGAAGCAGGCTATGATGCTGGTGGAGAGTGGGAGCACCGCCAAGCTGCCCTCCACCCTGTCCTCCGTCTCCATGCAGTGAGTGTTAGTTAGTTTCAAATGAAATCAGATATAAATACCAGGGCATTTGTTCGAGAGATACTAACTCGATCTAACTAATACTAACTCGATCGATGTAACTCGATTCACGTGCATGCCTTAAAACATTAGTGTTAATTGACAACAAAAAAACACAAAACGTATCAGTTCCTATATGTAGGGGTATGTACACACTTTTTAAACCCAAAATCCATTCGGTACCAAATATCATCTTACTCCGTTGTGACATTAACCCATATTGCTTTGGATTTTTATCCCAGCACACATTGCAAATTACAGTCCTTGGTTAATATATTGCAAAATATTGTGAAGCTCCCTTTCATTTTAACAACAGATATATTTTAACATTTTGATCAAAATGCATTTTTCTTGACAATTTTGTTATTTATGATTCTTGAATTTTGTTGTATCTTTTTATTTTACTCCCACTATGTTCATTGCTCTGCACCAACATACCAAGGCAAATATTTATATTCAAAAACCTACATGAGCTTAATCATGCCTCTGATTCTGAATATTCAAATAATTTGTTCCAGAATGAAACTGAAACATTTTTGCTGTACAAAACTATTTTGTCTAAATTAAATAATTTCTACATTTTCAAATATTTTACCTCTGTTTCCTGTAAAGTGTTAATATAAGGCATTACAGTATGCCAATGAGTTTGTTAACCACCAGTATAGATGTTTAATTTGTGCTTTGGTCATTTTAATAAAACCATAAAAATGAGTTGTTATGACTAGTAATGAGATGTGATGTGCCTCCACAGAAACATTCAGCAGAGAGGGTCAGGCAATCGACGGGCCATTCCGAGTATTTCCAAAAGTCGCGAGCAAGAGATCCGGAAGATTCTGCGAAGTAACCTGCAGAAAACCAGGCAGAGGGTATAGGACATCATTCATGACGTTGTTATGCAAAGAGTGAAATGTAATGAGTTATCAGAAAGGTAATAAATGTGATTCTGACGCTTTGTTTTTTTAATCTATTTTTGTCCTTAGCTTCGTTCGTACAGTAGACACGACCTGATGATCGACCCGTTTGAGGACAACGTAAGTGAAGTCCGCTTCAGGAAGCAGCGGGTGGAGATGGAGAGGAGGGTGAGTCAAACAGCCTTGTCTACTTCTCCTAGAAGTATACTTGATTTTGAAAGCTCATTTAGGTCCTAAACCTTAAACCTGAAAATCACAGAGTTGACCTTTTCAAAGTCAATGTTCTTTCTTTCATTTAATGATATACAGTACATATATGGAAGATAAGCATCTCTGTCTCACCTTCAATTATTTAACAGTGTTCACATATTCTGGTTTCTTTTGGTTGCCATGGCTATTCTGGGACTTATTTTTAAGCCTTTAATTGATCTGTATCTAAAATGGTTTCTAACCTAATTTACAGATGGACCTATTTGTTCTAAGACAAGTTAATTATTTTGACCTTATTTGTAGTTGCTTGTTATGCTGGTGTAATCCCATTGACTAAGGATAAATGCTTTTATATACCTGAATGGCGCCCAAATGTCCCCTTTGTCATACGATTCAATTTGAATGAACAAAGTAAAACCTAATGGCCATTCTTTCTAATTTAACATGTTGATGCATCATTCATTTTAAGATTATGATTATGAACCTCTTTGTGTTATTCACAGATGAGTCACTATCTCACAGTTCCTACAAATCGCCAGGAAACACCGTCGGTGAGAAAAGTGTGCTTTGAACCAGGTCAGACTTTTCAATATATCTTTCGTAAATTATTAGTGGAATTAAATGTTGTAGTAATCTAGATCTGCAAAGTAACCTCATCTTTCAAATAATGTAGTGGAGTAAAATAGTAAAACATTTACCTCGGAGGTGAAGTGGAAATGCATAGCCTCCCAAATGAAGGGAGCCGTAGGAGTGCCATCAAAAAATATGGAAAAGAAAATGGATATGGAAAAAAAGGAAATGAAAGAACATAATGTTAAATACATTTGAAAAATGTAATAAAGAATAAAACAGTAAACAAGAAAAGTGCAATGTAAAGAAACAAATAAAATAAACGATGAAAAAATATGAAAATATAAAGACAAATATGAGAGAATTATTATAAGCATTATATTGAATTTTTTTTAACATGAAAATGATTTGAGATTATATTGAATTATTTAAATGTTATGTCTTTTTATTTACTGCTGATATAATGTCTTTTATGGCACTCTTGTGACTCCATACATTTAATCCTGACTAAAACCCAAACTTCTACTAGTGTTTATGATTTATTAGCTGCTTGTAAAAAAATATTAAGCAATAAATGATGTCACTGCACTTTGCATGTACCCCCCAGAACATCAGGTTTTCACCTATGACAACAGTGAGAGCCCCCGGGGCCCGAGGGCTCGGCCAGATCCCGGCCCCCTTGATGCCATTAGCCTGGTGAGTGAATCCCAGCGGCCCAATCAGAGCCGCGAGCCGAGAGCCAAAGTGCCTGAGGAGCAGGAGGAGCAAGACCAACTAAAACTATCACGCTGCCTTAGTGACCCGGGGCCAAACCAGGAGGAGGATCTCTCGTGATGAAGCACATATTCAACTTTCATTATATCTTTGTTGTATTTAATGAGTGGAGATCAATGAATGGGAGTCGTAGCAAAGCTTGATATTTATGAAGTATTATTCTTTTCCATGTTATGTTTTTTTTATATGAGATTATTAAAAAAAAGATTTTAATCATGTAACATATTACCAAAGCATGCACCACTGACTATTTGCTATTTCAGGACTTAAATACAGCCTGAAGTTAGCAAAGGTTCACCATTTTGTGTCTTAACAAACAGATCTGCATCAAATAGAGCACTTGAAGCTCCAGATGGGTGGAGGTGACCCCCTCAAAGCACAGTATTAAGATGGATGATGTTACTATTACAGATATATCAGTGTTGCCATTTATCTACGGATGAGTAGCAAGAAAAATCTGCACAGAATTACCAAAGAAATGTTTGAGGTGAACGATGTTGTGCAAATTGTACAAAGTTTGATTATGCCACTACAAAGTTTGCTAGTGGCATTGCTTTAAAAATGTCATACTAAAATATGTTAACAAGTACTTGCCAAAAATCTTGTGTACAGACATTCATGTTCCCCAGAAGATGAATGCTCATGACTTTTACTCTACTGCCATTATGAAGTTTACATTTTCTGGGTTGTGTTTGAAATACATCGACCAATATTCAATGGTTTGCCATAAAATATCCTTTAGACGTTCATGCTCCCTTTTAGGATGAATCTAAATGACTTAATTCCTTGTCTCATTTACCTGCCATCATCAACTCAATCTTTTAAAATACCTATACAACTTAAATGTCCATTACATTTTGTGTTTAGTGCTTATCAGAAAATATTGACTAAAAGGGAAACATGGTCAACATTATATCATGTTAGAATGAGCATGTAGAGATGATATAGTGTTTACCCATACATGTGTTTACCTTGTTAGCGTGTTAGCATTTAGCTCAAAGCAATGTTCGACACACTTACGCCTGCATTATTCTAAAAAACAGCTATCTAACAATGTTTGTTGTCATCATGTCACATAATCATTTAAAAACTGGGACACATCGAGACAGTCTCTCTTAGAAAACATTCATAATGTTACACTTTGTTGTGACATTAAATGAGAAGTAGTTGTGACAAGAATGAAGAAATGAGCATGCTAAGATATTATATTTACCTTGTTAGCGTGTAAGCATTTAGCTCAAAGCTATGTTGGACGCTCCTAGGGCTGGGGTATGCTTAAAAAGAACTAGCTTGTTTTTAGATGTTCTAACACATTATTATTTATAGAGGGGGATAACGTCACACATCAAGACAGTCTCTCCTAGAAACTGTTCATATTGATGTAGCTTACTTTCACATTAAAAGTGACAAAAGTAGTTGTGACAAGAATGAAGGAAGAGTGTTCATACCGCAGTTCTTTTTTTAGCTCTGCCCAGCTGTCCAAAAACAGCATGAGGTGGGTGTTAATGTCAAATATTTAATTTAGAAAGTTAGAAAAGTGTCACACACCCCCATGAATATGACATTGGAAAGATGTGGGGGAAGAGGGAGTTTCCGAAGCTACATTAGCATCTGATAAGCAGTTCAGATGAGATATACTGCTGCATTTGGTCTTTATTTAACTCTGAAGTGTCCCATTCTGGATACATCTTGTTGAAATTCAAATGTCACATCAGTAAAAAAACTATTTGAGCAGATGGTGCCCTATCAATATCAAAAATGTCAAAACGCTCAAAGGTTTGCCTCATAAATTCTTGATCGGACTATATGCTATTGTGTCTAAAAACCTGCAAGAGGGTATATTCTTGTGTATTGAAGTGTCCTTTAGAAAGCACAAATCTGGTGATCCAAGAATATTAAACTTCAAGAATAAACTGCAGCAATATTGTTTGACCCAGGTCTCTGAACAAGATTACTTTACATCACTGCATGACTGATCAGTGTTTTCTCAGGGACTGCAACAAGACCCAGTATTACCAGATGGCCTTTGCAGAAAAGTGTTACTGCCTACACATTGTGCCCCTATCGCCTCTATATTGTGACTGTTTGTAAACTGCAGTGTTGTTTAGCTTCAGAAACATTCCACAAGTAATTGACTTTCTCAATTTCCTTGTAACTAAGCTCGACATGTGTCTGTTCCTGGTAACTGAGCGTGCTTAGGCTTTAATTGGGAAGTTAATCATCTTCTCTGCACTGCCTGGGCTTTTGCTGCCTGCATGAATACCTTCAAATGTATTGCTTCCTGTGTGTTTCTCTGTTGTAGTATTTTTATATTTTTGAAGGTGGAAAATGATCTGAAGTATTGTATATTTGTCAAATGAAGGAAAGCTTTAATTCCTGTCTCAAATAAAGATGTCATTGCTTAAGCTAAGTGATTTGAAGAAGAAGTTTCAACTTATTGTCATTACGTAGGTACTAGTAACGAAACGGTTTCTCTGCATTTGACCCATCCTGTGTTAGGAGCAGTGTGCTGCCATTATGTACGGCGCCCGGGGAGCAGTGTAGGGAACGGTGCCTTGCTCAGGGACACCTCTGTAGCACTTGGTCTTTTTGGGACTGGAACTGGTGACCTTCCAGTTGCCAAGCTGTCCCTATGGACTTCGCCACCACCGTTAGATTTTGTAAAGAGAAACATCCATTCAAGCATTTCCACATGCACCCTCCTACCGTATTTCATTTATAAGTGAGTTATGTTGTTCAGCCCACCTTGCCTCTCATTGGAAACTTGAGTCTAAATAACAGGGATTTGAAGTCCCCAACATACCAACCAGCAGTGTGTGTAATATGAGAGTTTGATAACTTGTACAACAAACATCTTTAGGCAAGCATCATGACCAGCAGCATGGATTTCTGCGGCACCTGGAAGGTTTATTCTGAGGAAAACCTTGAGGGCTTCTTAAAAGTCATGGGTGAGTATATTTTCATATTTAGAGAATGTATTTTCTTATGAATGCATACATCATATATTATTTTTCCTTTTAAGGTGCACCTGAAATGATTATCAAAATGCGAAAGGATGTCAAACCGGTGTTGGTGATTGAGCGGAAGGGCTCAGACTTCACCTACACCATGAAGACTCCCCTTGGCACCAGAGTTCACTCATTCAGGCTCGGCAAGGAGTCCGAGATGACCGTGGCGGATGGCAGGAAGTTTAAGGTAAACGTTTAACTCTTCGTGCATCATGTGAGCTGATGATGTCAGAATTAAACCCTGAAAATCAGTCTTTAGACTTGGTAGGCTTGTGTCAGTATATTACAGTGAGGCTATAGTTTTTGTGCAATTTTAGGTAAAAATCCAGTTTTTCAAGCAGCTAGCAGTTAATGTAATCTGATTCATGAAAATATATCAGAGATCAGAGACAATGCTATTTAAATGATGGCCATCTAAGGCAGATTGATGGGGTTTTGATGGGAAGTAAAAGAAAAGCTTTAACTTACATTATACTGTTTTGGCATGTATTTGTTATTGATTGCTAAATCGCTGAGAATTAGATCATCATCATTTGTTTATTGCCATGTAGGTTTTCACACACAAGGCATTTTCTTAGTGTATAACTGTGCATACATAAACACAGTGAGAGAAAAAAAAAAATGGTAATGGAAAAGAGAATAGAATATTGAGAAATATTTTAAAGACTTCTGAAACCTATTGAAGGATTAAACATGTAAACAAGAAATATAATGTACAAAAAAGGAAATACATACAAGTATATGACAAATGACTAACACACAATATGTACAGTAGCCTATATCTGAAATAAAAGTGGATGCAGTGTGTTGTTCTAAAAAGTGATATTATTGTTTAGTGGTGTGCAATATCATGATAGATAAAAAAAATTATGATTGACCAGTGCACTGTCAGAGAGAAGAACGGGAAGCTGATCGCTGAAGCTGAAAAGTTCACTGCTGTCCGAGAGCTCCAAGGAGATGACATGGTGGAGGTCAGTGGCCTTCATTATTTTACAAACCCAGGGATTCAGTGTTAGAAATAAACTTAGATTTAATGACACATGATCTTCAAAGAAAATTAAACAAATAAAGGAAGGTTTTTGCAACAGTTAAAGATGGATTTAACGGTTGCATTTTCTGTTGTTCTCTGTTTAATGCCACCGTTTTGTTACAACAAATCCTAACCCTGTATCCACTCAGCTATTCTTCCAGTTCACACTAATTGTGTCAGTTTTTTTTTTTTAACATGAAATTGTTTCCTTTCTGTCTCTGCTTTCTCTCTGTTCCAGACTATCACTGCTGGCGATGTAAATTTCATCTGCAGAAGCAAACGAGCCTGATCCAGGCCTGAAGCTGAAGCTACTTTAAGCAGGGAACCATGTGGATAGCACATAAAATAAATAATAATAATAAATAACTTTCATTCATAAATAATACCTTTATGAATACATTTGAATGATGAAATAAACCAAAGTGTGTGTTTTTATTCAGTGGTGGAAAGAAACTAAGTACATCAATCAAGTGCAAATGTAAGCTGCTATACCATACCATTTTATGCTACGTTAGGCCTCTACTTCACGACATCTCAGAGACAAATATCATACCTTTTACTCTTCTACCTTTGTCTGAGGTTTCAGTTTTTAATTTACTTTTATTTACAATATTTTGTCTTAAAAAAATATGTCTGGACGTGCAACACAAAGACTTTCAATCTCTTCTGTTAACTTAGTAATACTTGAGTTATGTTTTAAATACATCGCATTTACTTGACGTAGAAGAGTTTTACTGTGTGGTTACATTTACTTTTTCGACATCTTTTTAAAAAAAAATAAAGAATTGATTGTTTCTGCCACAGCTGCAGGTGAACAGCAGAGGACGCTGTAGGTTTTTATTCCCCCCGTTTGTTTGAGAAGAAGAACCAAAAGGCGCCCTCCAACTGCGCATGCGCCCAACATATTTTTGCTGCAGCAGATTTTTGTTTCCTTCAAAAAACCATTTCTTCTGCATAGTGAGTGTAACTTTATGGCCAAATACATGAGGCCCCCATGCTCGTCTTTGTTCGTCAGAAACATCTCCGATGAGTCCAGGTGAGTCAACACTCGGAGAAAGTCAGCTATCAAGCGCTAACTTACTCATATTAACGGCAGCTAACTGACTTAGCGTAGCTGCTAACGTTAGCCTCCTCGCAGAAGCTTCAAGTTACGTTTAACCAACGTGCAGAGGCGCTTTATGTGTGAAATATGTATTAGCTGCTGCTCATAGTTAGGCCAATCTGTAATAAGGTGTCTATGTTAATATGTCATATGTCGGTACTGTATCTTTGTTTACATTCCGTTTCTGTTGCACGGTTCATGTGTATAAATTAGCTAACGTAAATAAAGCTACGTTAGCTTACTTATAAACAATAGTTCAGTAATATTACATGTTTTGGTGATTTGCAGGCAAAACTATTTAAACGTATTATTTAATATGGTTAAAAGTTGTTATCAAGCCCAACTAACCGCTATGTCACAAACCGTTATTTCAGTTAACCGTTATTCTTTTAAAGTCTGTTATGGTCTGTAACGTCTTTAGGGTTATATACATTAAATTAAGCTTATTTGCTTTTTCCGTCCTCAAATATAAAATACCTATAAAAACAGCAAGACAAATTGAAAGGATAGGACAACAAAATTATGCATTTTCGTTTGAAAAGTTTCTTCTGCAGCCTGAAAATCACCAAAACACTGTCAACAATTACCTTAACCTCTCTGCTGAACATCTACTAATGACTACAAATATCTCACTGTGTGCTGATCTCACACATTACAATACACAAAGGTAAATCCAAGTACTCCTCCAAAAAATCTAGTGTGAATGGAGCAACCGTCTCGACATATGTCACTTTTTTAGACTTAGTGATTTCTAACCTTGAATTTCATGCTAAAGAAAATACTGTACACATCTTAAAGGTTCAGTTCACGCCAAAACGCAACATAATTGTAAAACAAAAGCAACCTCTAGAATAAATAAAGTTCCTAAGCTGCAGCCGAACTGAGAGCAATAACACAGAAACCTTGTACAGCTGGATCTGTCACCAGTTAAGAGGTCAGACAGATCTTTAGTGTTTTGGGGTGAACTGTCCCTATTGAGCCCTCTGAACAGCTGTTCTCCCAGCTGCTGCTGAGTGATGATATAGTTAGAGCTTCCTCTGATGGTCAGTTGAGTCATATTTTTATTTACGGTGTTCAGGCCTGAGGATTTGCGGCGTGAGTTTGGCCGCTATGGGCCTGTAGTAGATGTCTACATCCCACTTGACTTCCATACACGCCGACCAAGAGGATTTGCATACATTCAATATCCTTTCCCAATGAGTGTTTACTGTGTTGGTGCTCCTGCTAACAAAACATTTTAATTTCCTTTTCAGCTGAGAAGATGTGCTTTTTTTGTGACATTATTTCATGTATTTATTTTTGATTGAATATCTAACGCACTTATTTTTCTGTTATTGCTTCAGAAAATGTTAAAGCATCCAGTTGTGGAACCGGCCACAAAGAGTAACAAAGACCCGTGTAGAATAGCTGTAAAGACAAGTCTCACAGACCTTCAGGATCAGAGGGAGGGAAAAGGTTGAAAAGAGAAAGTAAAGCATGAAGAGGAAAAGGGAACGGAGACAAATCTTGGATATGGCGGCAAAGAATTGGGAAAAGAAAAAGAGGTTAAAGAGGAAAAGGCAAGCAGCAGTCCAGAGTCTCTGTGGGAGTCGATTAAAGAGTGTAAAGATCAAAATGAAGTTCAAAGTCAAGCATGGGCAAAGGTAACAAGTCTGAATTATTTGTATCCTCACAAGACAAATTCACAAATCTGACAACAAAATCATCTTTCCTTGTGATATAAATGACATTTGTGTTTTCATTATGATCAAGAAATGTAATCAATAATTGAATGTATTTGATTTGTATTTGTAGACCTGATCCCTCACAATGATTACATGTGTTTGAAAATGCTTCATCTTTTATCTCTACAAAAAATAACTGAGTGTATTTTGTTTGTTGTTTTTTCTCTTGCTAAACTATAATAAGAAATAATAGTTTGTGCTTTTTTCTTAAATGTTTTGTGTTATAAGTCAGGCCATGCAAATGTAATGAATGCCATTTTTCTTATAAAGAGAGAAAAAATAATGATATAAAAGTTTATTTTCTTAAATTACTACTTCATTGTGAAAGGAAGAAAACACTTTGAATTTGTGTGGCCTGACTAAAACTGTGATCAAAAGAAAACCCTTAACCACTCAGCATATTTGAGGATGTGCGTGATGCAGAGGACGCTCTTCACAGTCTGGACAGGAAGTGGGTTTGTGGCCGGCAGATTGAAATCCAGTTTGCCCAGGGTGACAGAAAGAGTAAGTGTTCAACTCTATTGTACCTTTTTATTTGTTGATTCCATAAAATACTGTAGACTTTGATAGAATGTGTTTTTGCAGTCAGAATTGTACCTCCCTCAGAGCGTTCCTTATTATTTTTATTTTATCGGACATTTTGAATTAAAAAAAGTTGTTAATATCTTATCATATGTATTTATTGCACATGCTTACGTATTTTTTTTATTATTTTTTTTGTCTTTCATTGCATTTCATTCTAAAAATCAAACAACATTTACGAAACCTAATTTCCCCGGGATATAGAATGTTTTTTAAAATTCAGATTTAACTTTTTACACCATTACACAGTGGTACATTTACTGTATGATCACCTGAACAGCAATCATCCAGCGTTTCTAAATGACTAAAAGAGATAGTAAATGTATTAATACTGACAGACCTAGATTGTAGGTATGAGTCAATGTACAGATGGTAGATGGCAGCACTGTAAAAGCTTAATGATAGCATAAAGACTAGCATTATAGTGTAACAACGTCAGTAATAAACAAATACATTGAGCCTTTTGTGTTTTGTTCTCGGAAATGTAACCTTCTGATCACTGTTTTTATTCTCAGCACCAAATCAGATGAAGACAAAGGAGAGGCATTCTCCAGGCAGATCGTCTCGATACGACGACCACGATCGGGACAGCCGGCGCAGGCGTTCGCGTAGCCGCAGCAACGAGCGGTACAGATCACGCAGCCCCTCTTATGATCGCCATCGCAGGCGATCGGAGAGTCCTCGAGAGTGAGTTTCTCTCTGAGCAGTCTAAGACTTGTACTTACATGTTTCTTTAAAAGGAAAAACAATCTATTCATGTCTGTTCAGATCTCGTGGACAGGTGTATGGCAGAGGAAGAAGCAGGAGTCGTGAGAATGAGAGGTACATCTTCTTTCTCTTTATTTCCTACTTTCTTGATCATGCTGCTGTCTGTATTACTGTACAAATACACAGACTTATCGTGAAGTGATACTGTTAGTGAAGTCAGAGGAAAAACTGAATGTACAGGACAGTTATCTTTAGTGCCTGGAAATGTAGATAATCATAAGTGTCTTAGTCATGGGTCTCAAACAATGTTAGGACTGATGGCTTCCTGAAGCATAGAGAGTAATATGGAGGGCTACTTGTTTGGTATAATGTTCCTGAATATTGTGAATTTATTGGGTCCAAAACAAAGATATGTAAATAGCAAATGTAATCGCAAAGAGTGCCTTAGGGAAAATAGCTTCCCCTTAGTTAATGTGTGACTCAGGCTATTTTAGACTCAATGGCTCCAGGTTGTTTCTATCCCTGCTATAGTATAATAGTACTGGGCCCTAAACGTTCTCATTGTGTCTTTAGATACCGGCAGAGGCCTCGAAGAGAGTCCAGAGCGAGATCTCGCTCCAAATCTGCATCTCCACGAGAGAACGCCAACCCTTCATCGTCTTCCCATTACCCCGAGGAAGAAGTGCGACGGGCCCACTCCCCAACCCGCTCCAAGTCCCGCTCCGCTTCAAGATCACGCTCTCGTTCCCGGTCCAGATCCTGGGCCGGACGTAAGTCAGGAGGACGCTAGGAAAGTACCCCCCCTCCTTTATCCGCCGTTATGTCAGATGCACCCGAGTTGGTTCATTTGTCAAATGTTTGTTTTGACATGAATGTAACGTCCGCTGAACCATTTGTAGAAAGCTTGTTTTCGCAGCTCCGTTTTAAGAAAAATGTCGGTCCTTCGCTTGGTTTTATAAAATTGTATTGGTGAGATTCCCCCCGATATAAATATGAAACAGGTTTCAGTGCTAGTCGCCCAGGAATAATTATCTTTTTTATATACTGTTATTAGTCATTTTGTTTTCTAATCCCTATGCATCCATTTTTTCAAAAAATAACATTCAGTATTTAAAATTGAATTTGGTGACGAACCAAACCATCGTTTCTGTGTGTCTTAACGCAAATCATTTACTTTAAACTTGACTGCTGAACTGAGCTGTAGCGTCAAGTATGAAAGTACTGCGAGTAAAATACACAGATTCGCTGCTATGGTCCTAAAGTGTTAAGATGTTATCGACCATTGACGTAAACCACAAGCTGTTTAAAATGTACATTAATCTGTTTAAATGTTGTGTGTTTTCTGTACCGTTTTCAAAAGGTATTTTATTTTTGGAACAAAAGTTTTCTCTTGGTGTTTACTCTGCCGTGTTGATGGTTTTTCATTTAATCCCGTCACTGCATGTTTAATCTCCTAATCTTCTACCTTTATGATGAAGAAACTGTTATTTTCAGTAATAAATGGATAACGTTCAGTATAAGGAATCCGTTCTTGACTTCAGTTTGTAAACTCTGCTTGTACAGACAAATTGGTTTACTGTGAGTTTAATGTTATAATGCCAAGCCATACTTTATTTAGGAAAACTAAATAAAACGAGATAGAAAAGTGCTGGAATTTAGCACTGGCTCCCTCAACCAAAAAGCAAAGTGTTGTGGCAAACAAAAGTTTATTTTGCTGACACTTTTTTCCCCATCAAGATAATTCTAAAATATACACTTGTGATAAACACTTTGTAGCTTAAATGCAATCACTAGAAGGTGAAGACAACCATATACAACCTAAACCATGAACACATGACTTCACCTCCACTTGTCTTAACCCAGATTTTTATTTTGGCAATACAACTTAAACCCCAGGCTCCTCCAACAGTGCAAAAATATAATATTAAAATGGATTTAAGAAAAACATTATAATGCTATTGACATAATGGTGCTAGAAAGTTGCAGGGACAAATACAAAAAGAAATGCATAAAATAGAATAAGATAAAACAAAATGTCCAATTAACTGTTATAACAAAAATGCAGTCTCATTTAGCTACTGTATAGCAACCACCCTTTTTAAGAACGTGGTTATCATCAGGAGTGGGGAATTCACTTACATTTTTAAGTCAGTGAACAAAACTTGAACATCTCTTAAGCTTGTGTTAACCTACAGCTATTAAAGGTCACCTATCATGCAAAATGCACTTTTTGATGTATTTTATACATAAATGTGTCCCCAGTGTGTAAGGAGACTCACAAAGTGTCAGAAAATACAACCCTCTCTCTTTTCCTCCGTACCCACATCTCTTTAAACAGGGGTACAACAGAGCTGACCCAGATTTTGTGCGTTCATAACGACATTAACATGTGGGCTGGCTTTACAATGAACTCCTAGCAAAGTTCCGCCCACGGCCCAACCTATCAGAAACAATGCGCAACGTGTTTTGGAAGTAAAATATTCTGTGTTTACATTAGCAAGCGTCGCTAACTCCAACAAGCCATTTAGGACAGAGAGTGAATACACATACTTTACAGAGATGCTGTATGAGAAACCAATGTGAGTTTGGAACATTGAACAATGTAAATCTATTCTAGTAGACCTCAACAATGGAATTATGATCAGTAGAAATGACCATGACATGGGACCTTTAAAGCTACGGACCCAGAATCAGCACTATAGTAACAGGGCTGAAATAGAGGCCATTCTACAATGGGTGAGTGATCTGTTTGGTATGTTGAGCAAAACACTTCATAGACATGTTTTGTATAGATATAATAATAATAATATTGGGAGGGATAAAACCCTCTTTAATGGTCACACAGGCAGGGCACACACAGTGACATTTGGCCTCTGCATTTAACCCATCCTAGTACCAGGAATCTATGGGCAGCTATTGCACAGCGCCCGGGGAGCACTGGGAGTGGGGGGGGTTGTCCGGTGCCTTGCTCAAGGGCACCACGGCAGGGCAGGAGGTGAACTTGGACCTCTCCAAGTAGCAGTCCACACTTCATATTTAGGTCTGGTCGTGGACCCTACGGCTCACAGTCCAAGACCCTACTGACTGAGCCACTGCCGGCCCTATAATATATTGTTCAAATATAGCATAATAGGTGAGCTTTAAACCAAAAAGTTTGTTGGATTCGACAAAGGGAGAAGAAAAGTGCATAAAGTGCAATTTCATCTCAGTGTTTTGAGATACATTTTTGCACAGAGTTTCCCCTCCTCTCTAACAGCCTGATGTGTAGTACTAGTTTTGGTTGTATGAGAATAAGTTTGAACTACAGTTTTTGGGCGTCTGCATGGAAAACAACCAGTCCAGCCATGGATATTGATTTCCTTTTAATGGACCAGTAGCTGGGAAAAACAGCTTAAATTAGATTCACAGTGACGAGGCAACCATGTATGAAATCAGACGTGTCTCATTGATCCCTGCATCGAAAAAAGGAACATTGATTAAACAAGTACAAACGCAGCATGGAGGCTTGATGGGAGTCTGTCAGGAATAGCTGCTTTAAAGCAAAGGTTAGCTTACAAATAGAGGACAAACGGAAGCAAGATAATACTTTATTCATACTGTAGTTATATCTGACAGATAAGAAGACGTACAAATGGAGGCTGAACAATAACAGAGTTAAGTTCTTAACTATAGTCATACAAAAAGGAGGCCAATCTGTATTCTTGTGTTGTTGAACATCTGTGGATTTCCCATCCGCCGTTCTGTGTCTTAGCAAACGCACAGTGGGACTAGCCTGAATCAATTGATCAATTGATCTTAAATATGTCTGCAATAATTCTGATTATTTACAAATGTAAGTCATTCTTTAAACAGAAGTGTCATCTTAAAGGGACAATTCCCCCCACAATCAAAAAGTTTTAAAAAAGGTCCTTCCTGTAGTGCTGTTTCTTAACCTAAATTGGTTAATTTTTAATCCGAGAGTGTTGGAGATATCAGTCTGATGTAAACATGAATGGCGTCCTCTGCTGAGCTTTATCTCAGATGAGCTGCAGTAAAGGAGCCCTTAGCTAAATGGACTGCATTTATATAGCGCTTTATCCAGTCTTAACGACCCCTCAAAGCGCCTTTACATTCTACAAGTCCTCATTTACCCATTCATCACAACCCATACAGACTGGATACAAGGTTCCACCTGCTCAGAGAAACTAACATTCACACACTGAGAAATGTAGGGTTAGGTATCTTGCCCAAGGAGAAATCAACATGTTGATTGCAGGACCTGGGATCGGAATAGTTCAATTTATTTTCTGCTCACATCAAAATCTGTGGATAATCTTAAATGATCAGGTCATGATTACTGATTTAGTTTAATTATATTGGAAAGCCATCAAGAAGGACATCTAGTTTGACCTATTAAACAATAATGTGTGACCCAGCCCAGGTCAAACCACCCACATTATCCAACACTGCAGTAACAGACCTGTGAGCTTCACTGCTCATTGCTGTCTAGTGCAACATTTCTTCCTTTGTAATAAGTACGGGATATCTAGCATTTAACCAATATTTCTATATAACGCTTCTAAAACCTCTCCTTTATGTATTTCATAATCCACCTTTAAGGCTCTCAGATGAAGATTCCCATCCCTGTGCATCCTGTTCTGTCCTATCTGCATTCCAACAAGTTCAGGGACACAAACCCCTTCAGCTCACCCCTAATGACTCGCAGGAACTGGCAGTCACTCCATTCATTCTGCTGCGAGGGAAATGGCAACAGAGCATCACAACAGTATCGATTGAATTGTCTCTGACAGGCTATAAGTTGTCAGGGATCATTTGCTTTTATCCAGTGGCGGCTGTTTGCCAGTTTTGTCCTTTGTTTAGAAGAGGATGCAGAAGATAGAAGATGTACTCGTAGGATTGTGTTCAGCAGCATTAAGCCTTCGTTACATTTCATATCCAAGATGATAGGTAAGAGAATTAATACTATTCTAATATCTTTGATGTTGTTAAATGTTGAATAAATGTTGGTTGGTGAAAAAAGGGGCATATTAGAACATAGCAGGTTCATTTTTGGAAATATCCATCAAAAAGAACTTTCTAATCCCTGAGATTTTTCCAGAAGGTACAATCTTTTATATGTTATTAGATTATATTTGAAGATGTATGATAGAGTAGATTGAATTGGCCAACCTTGGCCATCGTAGTATCTTGATCAAAATTCGTAAAAAAAAAAATACATTGTTATTTATAGAGCAATCAGACTTTTTTAACACCCAAATATCAACATTGTTATTGGCCCCAACATTTAAGTAATGGTTGGACTATAAACTTAATGATTCACCTTAATGAAGTCAATTATTCCCATTATTCACAAAATACTAAATTACACTATTTGATACCTTCTACACTCTATAACAAAGTGTGTTAGTTTGTTATATAAACTACAAATCTAGGGTTTGGCTTCAAGATAGTTGGCCTATGATGTGTCTTTACAAAAAACATTATCACTTTCTGATTTAAAAAAACCCCAGTTAGCCATACCATAATCTCCCCCAAAAATCCATTATCTATTAGGCTTTACCTTGTTTGTTTTTTTACAGAACTGCTAATATAAAAAATGGGAGACTGGAACTTCCTCGGGGGGATTTTGGAGGAGGTGCACATCCACTCCACCATGGTCGGCAAGATCTGGCTGACCATCCTCTTCATATTCCGGATGTTGGTGCTGGGCGTGGCAGCGGAGGACGTGTGGAACGACGAGCAGTCGGACTTCATCTGCAACACGGATCAACCTGGCTGTCGAAACGTCTGCTACGACCAGGCCTTCCCCATTTCCCTCATCCGCTACTGGGTGCTGCAGGTCATCTTTGTGTCTTCCCCCTCCCTGGTGTACATGGGCCACGCCATCTACCAGCTGCGGGCTCTGGAGAAGGAGCGCCATTGCAAGAAGGTGGCTCTCCGCCGGGAGCTGGAGGCGGTGGACGTGGAGCTGGTGGAGGTGCGGAGGAGGATGGAGAAGGAGATGAAGCAGCTGGAGCAGGGGAAGCTCAACAAAGCTCCGCTGAGAGGCTCTCTGCTGTGCACCTACCTGGTCCACATTATGACCCGCTCCGTGGTGGAGGTCAGCTTCATGGTGGTGCAGTACTTTCTGTACGGAAACCGCCTGAAGCCTCTGTTCAAGTGTGAGAGGGAGCCATGCCCGAATGTGGTGGACTGCTTCGTGTCCAGGCCCACCGAGAAAACTGTGTTCATGATCTTCATGCAGAGCATCGCCTGCATCTCCCTCTTCCTCAGCATTCTGGAGATCATGCACCTGGGATTCAAGAAGCTCAAGAAGGGCATCCTGTCCTACTACCCTCATCTGAAAGACGACATGGACGATTATTACGTCGACAAGTCAAAGAAGAACTCTGTCGTGCATCAGGTTTGCATTGGCACATCTGCGAGTCGCAAGAGTGCCATCCCCACGGCACCATGCGGGTACACGTTGCTGTTGGAGAAGCAGGGCAACGGACCCACCTACCCTCTCCTGAACGCCTCATCTG